TAACTCGACTCCTTATATGCTTTGAACTCCCGGATCCACAACGTTCTTTTGAGACGAGTTGGAGAAAATGGTATAACCCCTAAAGGAAGATAATCTAAAAGTCATTGGTCAGGGAATATGTAGGATACAAATGAGAAGGTCACACACCCTGTAAAGAAACATTTGGTTTGCATGGAGGAGTAATAAAAGCACGCTGCTTGAAAGATGTACCGGTCATGGAAGCTCACAGTCTACATGCTTCCACTGTACAGTATATGAGGAATTCTATCCATCGTTAATGCCTTCTGAGTGGCATTGGCATTAAAGCAGTACAGACCGAAGCAATTAATTACGCATCAATTCATCCACAGCAAGTGGAGGCTTCCGAACAGTGTGGTTTGAAAGCGGTCAAGCCCACTCGTACATCATCTGCATCTGGTTGCATGGTATTTCCTCTTCGTAATGGGAGAACACAATCCACTTTTCACAAAGAATTTGGAGAAAGTTATGTGCAATCATGTTCCATGCTCGTACGACCCTACATACATACGCATCACCATCATCACCCTCTTCTTGTGTATTTTAAATCCCCACGAAGCTTTTGTGCTGGCTAGCTGAACATCCCTTTCTGAGCGTGCCTCTGCCTCTGGATCTTACGCACCCAGAACCCAGGACCGCAACTTTACTTCGCCCGAAGGAAACGAAAGGAAAGGGAATGAATGGCATGGAATGGAATGGAATGGAATGAAAGTTAAGGCCAGGGCCACCTCGGACCCTGGGATTTCGGTCCGGTGGGGTCGTCGGCCCCCGCCCTGCCGTGGACGATCAATTATATATTTCTGCGGAAATTCTGGCAATACGAGCTGAATAAAATCATCGAGTCTATGGGGATTCATTCTTCGGGGCTCTGCGAGTCCATGCAAGTGCAATCCGGTTGAGAGAAGTACACACAGAGCCTGAACGATTTAACAAATACACAAATCGTTCTAGTGTTGTCTTCGGATTGAGTCTCGCAGTATCATCCCACAGCGTCTGGGAGTCAAAAGTGCTGAATCTGCTGGTTTGGTTCGAGTACTGATTGGTCTGAAACCCTAAGCGTCTGTAGATAGCTGGACGGACTGTCACGTTGTTTTTAGGATTCGAGATTCCAACGATAGATTTCACCTGCTGCTAGTGCGTGTAGCATAAGATGACGCGTGGGCAGCTTCGAAGTTCACGAGGTGGCTCATCTGGGGGTTGGCAGTGAGTGTGTTCGTTCAACGAATTCGGTTTAATTGGGGATCTATCCGTGAGCACCTAGAGAGGGAGGTGTCCAAACCGTTGGAATGTTCTGTGAGTGTCTTGCACTTCTTTGGGGTTTGACGACGTGAGCTGCTCGTCGTGAAAAGGGGCCCCTTCAGCTGAAGATAACGGAAGGAATCTTGCCATTTTATTACTACTCAGGGAAGGAGCGACGTCAGGAGCATTTCCTAGAGCCGAGAGATCACTGAGCTGATCCAGACCGAGCTAATCCTTGAAAGTACAGCGCTCTAAAACGGAGCGAAGTCAGTTTTTCTTGGCGTATTCTGGAGACTCGACCAAAAGCACGGTGATCGAAATTTGGAGGTTTTTGAAGTGGAGTGGAGTGCATTCGCATTTACGATCTCATCCGATGCTCTGGAAAGCTCTTGTAGGGCGTCAGCGACTTGCAGTGCACCATATTTGGGATTTTTGGGATTCGGTGTCGACTACAGGCACCGTGCCTTGAAAGAAGATCTATGAGTGTACAATGTCGTAGACCGTTGGGGTCTGAATGCAATGCACAGGTCGCCGTTCCAGAGCTTGCGTTGAATTGCCTTCTACGGCGTCGACGTCGCTGGTCATGACGGGAGGAACGTTATGTGCGACGAGGGTACAACACGCAGGTTTATGTGAGATGCAATTACGGACAACAACGAGCAGGCATGTACAAAGGAATGGGGAATGGGCATTGATTAGAGGGAAGGACTCACAAGCACGAACCATGGCATTGCTGATGATGTCGCTTTCATGTAGACCTGCTCCAAATGCATCAGATCCTCGTCACGTGGCATGTAGCGCGATGCCTGAACGCCTCACACAGCTCCGTCTCGCCGGTACGTGGAGCTGCTGAAGCCCTTGCTGCATTTGCCGCAGCGCCATGTCGTCATTCACCCGAAACGCACCACATTCTCGACAAATGCCGAGCCTTGCCCATCCCCGTCCCCGTCCGCGTCCGCTAGCTAGGTAGTTGTAGATGCCTCAAAGGCTCCAACATCCACTGAGCCCAATCATCAAGGAACAGAGCTGGACGTACTGGAATCGAAGTACCAGTCAGATCTGGAATCTGGAGGAGATGCGGGTTTTTACTCTGATCGGAAGGGTTGAGTATCAGAGCTAGTGGCAAGTGACAGAACACACCCACAGGCTGTACTATGGAAGCGACCGTACGCTACTTCCCCAAAACAGCTCATTTAGAATTCAACCGTGTTATGAACTGAAAACGTGTGAGCTGCTCACACGCTTTTAAGTTCATGCGCAATCTGCTGATCCTGTCAACTGTCAAATCTCTCCTGAGCCATTGGTCACCGAACTTCTGCTCAGGTCGGACGGGAAGGAACTCAAGCCGGTGATGAACCTTAAATTCAGGACCACTGTCATACCGTACTGTTTACTCACTCTGGGAGATAGACTCGTTTTACACAGGGTACAGTAATGCAGAATGAAGGGCCTTCTGTCCTCTGGACTGGACTCCTGTCACCGTGGTCGACTTATAAAATGAACCACTGAATATGATTTTCTTCTTCTTGATTCCTTCCATGTTTGTTTGGTACTGGAGCAGTTAGCAAAGCAGGGCAAACCTTCTCTCGTTCACTCTTGTGATTTACTGTGGCCAGCCACGACCCTCAGCTTTCCGCCTGTCTGCCTGTCGAGAGTTTTGTTCTATTCATGTGCAACTTGGAAGCGGGGACAGGTGTATCCCCAGGCAGGAATAAAGCCATTTCTTCCTCAGGTTTTCACCAGCTTCACCTGTTTTCCCTCTGATCGTGACCCAGAGACGAATGGGAGGGAGAATCGAAGGCAGCAGCGAGCCATGGTCAGTACGATGATCCGGCTCAAGGGTTGGTTGGTTGGGTGGTAATTCTCAGAACAGTTGGCAAGTAATCCCGGTCGCAAGACTCGATTAATTATTGCCGTCTTCATAGATTCTTCCGCTCGTCGGAGTTCGACCGACGAGGATAGACATGAAATCACGTTGTGGAGCCGAGGACTGCTTGTACAATTCTTTCTGAACATCTGCAGGTTCAGGAAAGTCCGACACACCCTTCGCCTGGTTGAGTGTCCTGGTTGTGAGCTGCACAATATAGTCGCCATACGTATATCCAGCACCCACAACAGGCACTGCAGACTGGTCGATTGCCATGATAATGGCCCCTCGCCGGAGAAGGACGTATAATGTCAGTCCAACCGAGATACTTACTAGGCACGGACGCTGATCATTTAAGTACGGTGAATCGGTGTGCAAGGTCCACGCGGACGGTAGAGATAAACACTCCAAAGAACCACACAAGGATCTACAGGAAGAAGAAGGAGGACGACGACGACGACGAAGAAGACGAAGAATAGAAAGAAGAAGACGACGACGAACGCTGTAGTGCCATTCTGTTTTCGATCTCAGGGACTCAGACCACCCTGACAACGAACTAGTCGAAAAAAGCGGATCGCAATTGATCAAAAGGATGTCGAGTTAAAGCCTCTACCATCACCTTTTCAGATCATTTCGCCTTTAATGGACCCGCGTCAGCCAGCTGATTTAAACTGGTATTCGTACCACCTGGAACTTCGCGATCCTTCTGTGCTTCACAGAAAGTGTCAAATTTGGACGGGAGCATTTATATCTGAAGAACTAAAAGCTGTCGACTGTTCTTTACATGATGGACACAACCCACATATATCGAAATTGCGGCCTGGAAATTGCCACATGAATGCCAGTTCTCCCGTGCACCTTTTCATGATACGCTTCTTTCATTTCACCCTCTGAGACCTGTGAATGTCGATGCCAAAGTCAGGCGCCATGAAGCATCACGGCGTTCTTCTCGTGCGTCCAGATAAACAAAAGCTTTCCGAGCTTGTATGTCGTCCTGGCCGCCAATTTCATGCTGGGAGACTCCTCGGAATGCTGCGAAGATATACGAGGAATTTCTGAGCTACAGGAACCCAGGGGTCATCTTTCCGTGAGGGCAGCATGATAATTAAGAGAAAACGAAGTTGATCATGTCGCTGGTTCGTGTCTTCAAGTACAGTAAACCTGGCTTAGGGTGAACTGACAGGGAAACGCGTCCAGATGGTCGGTTCAAACAAATTTGTTCCATCAAACTTGTACAATCTCCTGCCGCAGTGGAGAAAGATGGCCCAGACCGATCCGAAGAGCGCTGGTTCAAAGCCAATCCATGTCCTAGGGTTGTGACACGGCTTCCGACTTCTCGAGGTTGGTCTCGAAGGACAACGATTTCGATTCGGGAATTGTCACAAATAAAAGAAGTTGATTCGACACCGATTGCTCGGAAGAGAGCGTCGTTGTCTCGATCCGGAGACTGGAACGTGAAATGGATCCACAGCTGCTGCATTGTGGTCTCTCCCTGGAAGCCGCAGGAGAGTGACAACAACCCCGTCCGAAGCCACTCTCATCACCAGCATCATCATCGTCATCATCATCCTCTTCTTCTTCTTCTTCTTCTTCTTCACACGTCCGTGCGCGAAATTCTCTTGAACCACTGATCCCGACTTAAGGCCGGGCGCTATGGAAGGCCCTGGCCCGGCACAGATAGCGCTCCAGCCTGAGTGAGGGCTTGCTTGCAGTTGTCGAAACAATGACGCAAACCTTGTCTCAGCAAAGATGCTTCATGCCGACATGCGCTGCTGGGAGAAGGAGCAGCAGACAATTGAGGAGCACAATGTAAGCTGACTGACTGGCGGGCAGGTAGGCAGGCAGGCGGGTAGTTGTCGCTGGCTGGTTGGGCTGCAATATATAGCTCGTGTCTGTTGTGAGTTCCAGCGAACCAGCTCGAACCAGCGAGCATTGAACAGTTGCTGGGCTGAGAGCTCGTTTGCTGAAAATCACAACAAACACAATCTATTTACTGAATTGATTGATGATCCGGGCAGAGGCACCGGTGCATCTGTCATGTACTAGCTTGATCACCTCTCAGACACGCATAGACGCGAACCAACTCCGGGCGTGCAAACTTGTCATGCCTCGTGCCGCAGCCGCTAGCGTGTTGGGGATCTGCATCATGATCACTGACTCGTCCGCAACCCCTGCAGGCAAAAACTCAGTGAGTGCTGGCTGCTGGCTGCTGCACGGTGCGGTGCGGTTGGGGTTGGGGTCGGGGTCGGCACCGGCCGACCAATTGCAAAACCTCCAGCACCAGCCGCAGCACCAGCAGCCCCAGCAGCAGCAGGCGAGGTCAGTCAGCCACGCTAGTTGCTCGCTATTAAGTAGTCTAGGCCCGGAGATCGAATGTGGCCCTTTGTGCGGGCACGAAAGAGAAGTCCTGGAGGTGAAGAGTCCGAAGTAGACTCTGATATATAAGCAGCTAGCAGCAGCTCCGGAGTCTGCAGACACAAACTGTCCAACGTAATCAAGGGATGAGTAGTTTTTTGGGCTGGTTTGTTTTTTCGCGTTGTTTTCCGCCTTTTTCCTTTTATTTATGGTCCGAATGAAGGCCAAGTGCTTCCTTCGCAGGGCCTACAATCGCCTCCTAGCCGTAGGTAAGCTGTGCATTCTCGCGGACTAGCAAACGTGTACACCCGGCCCACATGCAGATACAGATTCAATCGGATTAATCTCGCCGGATTAATCTAATGGACCTTGGGTTTGGCCGAAAGCCTCCACACATGCACGGTGCTGATGGTGGTGCTGGTGCTGGTGCTGGACTTGCGGGGCCATGGAGCCGATCGACTGATGACGGAGGAGTGCTGTAAACTCTCGAGATTGTCCGAGCGTTCGAGTCGATCTGAAAGATAAGGGTCATCGATTTCACCAGAGCCGAGATGATAGGTTCCAATCAGCTCAGAATTACTGACAATCGCTGTAGTGGGAAATTCAGAGGCCGGGTCGGAAATACCGAAGACTCGAGGACACAGAGAGATACGATCAGTGTGGTGTGCTTACTATACGAATCTTCCGTCGAGAAAGCGCGACACTCCAAATCCCAACGAAACGGCTGGCTGGCCGGGGCCTCATCATTCGCTCGCTCAGACTACGACTTGCGCCCCTCACTGCGATCCAGTTCACTCTCCCGTCACCTCTCGACGATCCTTCAGAGAAACCTAGCATGCACCGCGCCGGGCTTGCCCTGAGAGGAGCGCAACGAGCATAGCTACGCACAGAACAGCAAAGCAAGCCAGCGATCCAGGTCGACGACTCGCCCTCGCCGCCATGCCGAGCTCCAACGGGAGGGACGAGCGCGCTCAGAGATTGACCCATAAAGAAACTGTACCTCGACCGCTCACTTACTTACTTACTCACTCTCTCACTCCCTCCCTCCCTCCCTCCCTCGCTCACTCCCTCACTCACTTACTTTCGGGTTAGATCTTCGTCTCTGATCGACCGGTCGGTGTCTCGAGCAACAGGAACCCGGCCCACCCCGGCCCCGCCCGGCCCGGCAGCGGAAGCAGGAGGCAGCAGCGGGTTATGTTGAAATCTAGCATGCAGAGCTCTCGCTAGCGCTCTCGTCCTGATCCTCCGTTCGTTGAATTTCCCTCACCTGGAGAATATTATTCATGACGCAGGCTTCTTGTAGTCCAACGCATGCAGCCGCAGGTACAATCCACACGGAGAGAGAGAGAGAGAGAGAAATGTGGAGGGAGGGGTAGAGCTCGAAGGGGCCTCTGAACAGTAGACATTGTAGACATCCGAAGAGAAAATCAGACTCGCTCGTTTAGCAGAGTCATCGAACTACGTGTCCAGCGCCTCGACGCACCCAGACTGGTTGCCCGTTGCCTGTTGTGTGCCTGTTGTGTGCCTGGCCTTGCCTTGCCTTGCCTTGCCCTCCCTGCCTCCCATACATACTCCCTTCCTTCCCTTATGCTGATGCTGCTGCTGCTGCGAGCACTTTTATACCCTTCGTCGTTTCTGTTCCTTTCCATCCGACATCGCCAAGGCGTAGCAATGCTACCATGGCCAATCCTGGCCACCTTCACCAATTTAGCTACCGTGTGCACAGTGCAGCTGCTACTAGTAGCGGGGAGACCTCACGAACCTATAAAATGGCAGGCAGACGATGCTGCTGATGGTGGATGGCTCTCACGATATGATACTCAGTGCGGAAATGACGAGACGAACACGAGCTCTCCCTTGTTTCTAGATGCCAGCCACCTTCTCAGGAGGTCCATTGCACATGCTTTTGCACTTTTCTATTATTTTTGCCGAGCTTTCAAATTCCAAAGTCTTAGTATTCCTACCCACTCTTGAATTTTCAAATGTCCTCCTTCCACATGCTGTACGACTTGATGGGGTCTCCCCATCCTTTTGGCTATATGACTCGCGTTTCCTTCTTCTCGTCCCTTATTACAGCTGATTTTGTTTTTGAATCATTTCCCGGTGCATGTAGACCCTGTCTGTCAAGCTCCTACTCGACATTCAATGCCCGGGGACTCAGCTCTCGCTTTTCAGGCTCGGCCCGGGAAACAAAGGTCTACAGCCCGGGCCAGTGAAACTATGCACTGGATGGAATAGATTTTTTAGCAGGAGGAATTCGCGACCCCTCTTGAGTCGCGCATGAAGATTGCGCAACAGCTTACAGGTACAAGCCCTTGGCTGCCCATGTCCGTTCTCCTTTTCAGACAAAACAGATTCCCCAAAAGGAGCCTCTGACGCTGTCGTAAGCCAGCCCGGCAGATGATTGGCCCGTCCGAGTTCAGAGACAATAACAGCACCATATCTGACAAACGTTTTTGAATGTCGAGTGCTTCACACTCTACGAACTGATTTCAAAACTCTCCCCGTGCCTGTCCTCCTCCTCTTCCTGACAAATGTGGTTGAATGTCGAGTGTGAAGTACTCTACAAACCGATCTCAAAATTCTGTCCTCTCTCCTCCCCTTCCCTTCCCCCACCTCACCGCACCCCACCCCCCCTGACAAACATTGTTCACTGTCGAGTGCCTTACACTCCAAACGTAACATAACCTCCTAACCTCTCCTCTTCTTTTCTCTCCCTCGCTAAATCCATCGTACAGCTCCCGTTCACGTTACTCTGAGCCTGTTCTTACCATTCCACATGCGAATCCACTCCATCTCCATGCGCTCATTGAGCCTTCATTCTATGGGCTCCATGTCCAAATTTTCCTTGCTCTCGTCTGCATCTGCGTGGGACCCAGTCGGTACAAGAACTCCAACCGGCACCAGTACCGGATTATGCACCACTCAGTTCCAGTGCCCGAGTGCCGACGAGCTGGAGCCGGGTTTCCCCTCACCCCTCTGATTGGCCATTCTTCTGATTGGTAGGGCCTGATAAATCTGAACTGTGCCTCGGAAGCAGCAGGGCCTCGGAACTGCCAGTCCGCAACCCATGCGAGGACCTGATTGGCACTCGAACATCGGTCGCGCTCTAGTCGCCAAATCTCTGCGACGTCACGATTGGCAGGTCCCTCAAGAGCCTGGCCCTCGCTGCCCTTGAGATTAGGAGCTCGTGTTGGACGAGATGCAAGGAAAATATGGGCAGGAATATGAGCCTCGGTGACAATTATGGTGGTGTCTTCGGGTGCATCAACGTGGACGAATGGCTTCTTCTTCTGAGTGAAATAAGAATAAGACATCATGGTAAATGCAAGACTAAGCAAGCACGTGAACCAACCTGAAGTCAGGTCATAGAAGGAATGTAGATGTCACCATCAGGAATTTGGACTTGTTCAGACGGAATGAGACCAGCGACCCAAGCTCATACTAGAAAGTATAAGTCAATACTCTGCATTTGACTCACGCCGTCAACCTTGAGGTTAAAATAACTGCCAAGTCCATGAAGAAATCTATATATATACATATATAATCATAAATATAAGCGGCTGCTGGATCCATAGACAATCAGATGTCACATAAGTCAAAGATAGATAAAAGTGCTCTAAAGGGCACTGATACATTTTATTAAGTAATCATTAGAGGTCATATGGTACTTGATAATCGCGAGCCGTGCACCATAAGAAAGTTAACGAGAAGGTACCACCTCCCGCTCAAAAGTTACGCCAACACTTACAGAAGACACAGTCTACTCTTCCTCCCTACCAGGAGTTGGATCATCCATAATCTGAGTTTCCTATTATTCCTGTAATCCCCAAATACCCTTGGACGACACCCAAAGAGGTAAATTTCCTTTTTAAATCATTTTTTTCGTTGGAATCAGGGCTGAGGCCAAATCTTTCAAGTGTGGGAGAAAGTAGTACACTGGCACCACTGGACCAACTGAGAGGCCAGTGGTGCCCGATTGGATAACGGAAAGTAAACAGGATTCTGTTAATGAGAGGAGATACTTGCGATTTTCGTTTTATGTTTTTTAAACGGTTAATCATTTTATGCTGGATTTGTCAGGTGTCATCGGACTCACAAAGCTTTTCTATACGCGAAAGCATAGGAGATAAGTTGTGACTGGTTACGGAGTGAAAGTAAAGTACTGAAGTCAATTACAGCCTCCTCTCGCTGTTAAACAACGAAATCCTTTTTGATTCTTTTTTGTTATCATCAAATCTGAGCTTTTGTGTGCATGAGGCGATGTAGACTGACCACTTGGCACTGGCCGGGGCAAGAAGAGAGAAGGAACAGAGCTGATCTTGGATCCCTGCACATAGTACGTTGGAGATGACCGAAGTGGCTCCAACTGGCCATGTAGCGCTACAGTCGTGGCGTAATGACACGGCCAGGCAATCGCGGGGATCATTCAATTGCTACAAGCAGACCAGATGTATTCCTCGAATCAAGGAGCATCGCGAACCAAGCAAACGTTGCAAGACAAGAGGGATCTATCAAGTTAGCTCATACAGTACTCCTCATACTCATACGTAGACTCGTCTGATATATATGGTTTGGGAGAGTAGCATGTATTTCACATTGTAATTCGATTCGCTTCGAGCCCTATACTTAGCACTCTC